GTTTCTTTGAAATAAGCGATGTTATGATGATAATTTATGGAATGCATTTAAATGGAGTTTCAATCAAGCACGGGTATTCCAGATATTCTTTTTTTAGGCAATGAACGCATCCCAGAAAACATTGCATTAGTCCATCGCGTGGCTGTAAAACCTTTAATAAATGAGGGTGGGCCACGGTAGGAAATACAAAACAAGCCTTTAAATGCAAAAGGTTTTTGTTGTTTTTGGGGTTGTTTTCTGGTTATTTTTCTGGTTATTGTTCTGGTTGTTTTGCTGTTTTTGCTGGTTGTCGTTTGTTGGATTAACTGCAATTCTGATCAATACGCTGCTATTGGTTATGTTTTTCTTTGGAAATGGCGTGAATAATGTGATTAACTAGATCCCGTAAGTGACGAGACAGATATTTGAACCAGCAAAGGATTGAAGTTTAAACCTTTCATTCTCATCATCTTCCGAGCGGTCGCTTATATTCCTGAGATCACCACTCGCCAATGCGCAACGTCGAATGTTAAGAACAATGCTATGAACATTTTCTGTCGCAATGTTATGAACATTTTTGTGTCTCATTTCGTCATAGAATGATTTATATGGCAGTTGCTTCCTCTGAGGGTTGCTTAGAAGGAAGCTAAGAGTGAGTCTGACTTCCCGGCACGCATGAGTACCAATTTATCATCGAAATGAATGAACGAATCGTAGAGAGACTGTTTGTCACCATGACCGAATGGTACCTTTGATTTTCAGAACGAAGCGCTTGCATAATTTATACGTAAGAACAGAAGCGTGCGGGAAGCAAATAGGATTGCAGTATTGCTTTTCCCGGAAAAATGAAACAGAGACGTAGAGAAGCGAATGCCAGGACCATCAAACAGTACTTTTGCCACGATAACCATTAATGAGTTATCGACTGTTTTGCAATAAACTTATTTTGGGGTGAAATGACGGTGAATTAAAGCACATATTATCCTAGATATTCCCCTGGATCAGACATCTCAGTACAGGTACAACAGACTCCACACATATCTAACTTTTGGGTTCGGCGTATGGGAGCATTCTAGTGATAACACTAACATCGGTTCACCACATCGAATATCTGAACGGTCTCAACATCTCGGTATTTTTAAAATATTCTTTGTGGCAGAGAAAGGAATTAGGTAATTGAGAAATTAGTAAATGTTGTAAAGTCCTGTAAAATATAATGATAAGACAGTTTTCGGCCCATTAAGTTGTATACATTTCTTACCATTGCCATAACCTCGTCAAACCCTTTATTCCATTTGGCTATTGCTTTGCTATATGCTATCCTAGAACTGTTTCCTAATTCTTTTGCCCTTCGTGAATGGAAAAGTTGGAGCAGTTCTGTTTTGCTCAAATCTGATGCTTATTATCTCCACACGAAGTTCGTTATCTATGCAAATTTCCAGTGCTTCGTTTGCACTATAAATTCAGCTATGGAGCTTGGGATGTCATTTTTTAAATTTGTGGCTTTGCTAGGCGGTTAATCATCACCATCTTCCCGAGGTGCATCATGGCCGATGAAGGTACCGTCAAGTTTCATTCTGACTGACTCTGATCCAAAAAGAGTTCCTTGCTTGAAATCCCTCAAGATATCATCCTCCACACTTCGCCGAGACCATTCACAACTGCGTTCCTCAAGAGCCAGCAGCGCCGTTTGGCCAGCGATCACAAGCATGATACAATTCTTTATCATTTGTCGTTGTCAACTCAAATCGCAACGTCGTCGAAGGTAGCACAGCTGAGAGGGGAGCCGGAAATGTAAAGGAGTAACAGTTACTTAATTTTCCATTGCCCATGAAAAAGGCAAAAGCGCTCGAGCGAAAAGCGCCTGCTTTTTTTTCAAAAAAAAAAAAAGCAATAGCTAATTCATACAGTAACATATGGTCAGCAAAACGAAAAATCATTGATACATTTCTAAGAATTTCACACCGTGACAAGAAATGAGCGACTCGGGGTGAGCAGTTATAATTCTTGTATGGCATCCAACTACTTTAGTTATGCCAGGAAATAAGCTGCACCACTATTTTGAGCGATTTTGTCGGTCTAAAGTTTCCTTCTGGAAAACGAAGCTGATTTTGCAGAAGTGAAAATTGAGTACCTACGTCCCGGAGATGTGCTGGGAGATTGGACTGTTGAGAATAAAATCGGTGAAGGTGGATTTGGCGCTGTTTACTTGGTAAAATTTTTTGCTCCAAAAATCCGCCTAAATTGATTGCAGTTAAGAGTTTAAACCACCACAATGACCGCTTCTGCTTTCTTTCTTCGAAGAAATTGAGGATCATGGAGTAGCTGGAAGATTTTTACAGGTGACAGACAAAAATGGCAAAGAGTATGCAATGAAAACGGAAAGTGTCAATGCAGCTGCCAAAGCAAGTGCTCCACTGTCTACTCTCGTAACACTGGCTACCCAATTTTGAAAAAAAAAAACATTAGAATAGGCCTAAACACTGCTAAACTAAAAACGATTTTTTTGACCAAAATAAAATCCTTGGAAAAATTCGACTGGAAAGAATGGCCAGCACAAGTCACTTCAGTGGTCAAATTTGAAGTTTTTATCGGGTTTTTTTTTTTTCCACGCCGAGTGAAAGCCTCTTTAATGACCGACAAATTTAGTCGTGGCTTGTCACAGGCAAAACAGAACTGATCAGTTGCAGGTGCTGAAAGCGGAATATTACGTCCTGACGGAGCTAAAAAGAGCAAAAGCGAGGCATTTCTGCGATATTTTGGACAGTGGATTAGTGGGCGAAAATAAGTACCTCGTAATGACACTTGTCGGGCAGTCGCTCACGGTACAATATTTCGTATCACTGTTTCTATAAAAAACATTTTACACCAGTATTTTTCGGCAAACGAGCAAATTTTTGATTATCCGTAGAAAGCCGGCAAAGAATCTACTTGTGTTGCGTAACTTAACACAGCACATTATGATACCCGAGGGGAATGACGGAAGCGACTTTTTTCTGGTTCGTTCTTTTGGAAAACATGCAGGTTATAAGAAGAAAATGGGCTTTAAAAACAGGAATTCGCTTTTCATGTACAAAAGTTGTTTTAACAGATCTGGAACTTGGATTCTAGTGACAAGTTTAAGTTGTATACTGAGGAAGAAGTTTCGGTGCTTCTTGCTGTGCACAGAATGGAAGCATTTTAAAAAAACAAGGCTGAAGAAAGCTGACATAACAGCGATGAGCTCGTGACAGCAGCTTAGAAACGTCAGGTGTCAGTACAAAAACCAGTGACATTTCAGGATCTTCGGAAGCACGACCCGACACAAAAAATACAGAAATTCTCGCTCGGCTGTGCCCTTTCAGTTGGCTTGAAATGTCTTGAGGCTATAGAAGAACTTCATGAAGTTGGGTAAATTTTGTTGCTTATGCACTGGA